TCCTTGTCTTCTCTTTCCTTCTAGCTTTCCCAACATTAGAGCCTTCTTCAGAGGGCAAGGTCTTTGCATAATAGATCTGAAGTAGGATAATTCGAAGTTGGTCATTTATGCCTGGAGTGAGAACTGTGGAGTGATTTATTTGATGATCCATTTGTTTATTTTATTTGTTGATGATCTTATTTGTTTAACCACTGAGCCAAGGTGGCGCAGTGGTTAAATGCAGCACTGCAGGCCACTGCTAGATCAGCAGTTCAGCGGTTCAAATCTCACCGGCTCAGGGTTGACTCAGCCTTCCATCCTTCCGAGGTGGGTAAAATGAGGACCCAGATTGTTGGGGGCAATATGCTGACTCTCTGTAAACCGCTTAGAGAGGGCTGAAAGCCCTATGAAGCGGTATATAAGTCTACTGCTATTGCTATTGCTATTTTCTTGACTGCAGTTTTCAGGAGTCTTCCCCAACATCAAAGTTCAAAAGCATCAGCACTGTTCTTATCTTACTTTTTAAAAATCCATCTTTAGCTCCAGCAAAGTGTCACAGGGATTATCATGGCTTGCACAATTCTGATTTTTGTACTTATAGATATACCGGAATATGCTCTCCAAGTCCTTCGTGATTCTTCAAGTCTAGTCTCCAGCATAATTTTTACTGCTTTTCCCTTACTATTGATGATTGAGCCTAAAAGACAGAAGCTATTCATAACTTTAATGTCTTCGTTGTCAATTCTAAGCATAGTTGTTTTACTGTGGTCACTAGTTTGGTCTTTATATTTATGTCTCATTTTAGATCCATCTTAGTTTGAGATTCAAATACTTCTGGCTTCCTAAATAACTCTCTTGTTCTTCTTCCTGCTTCCCTCCTTTATTTTTATCTTTCGCAACAATGCAATAATTTAAGGGAAACCAGAAAGTGCTAATAATTATCTACAGAATGAAAATTCTTATTTTCCTGTCTTAGTTTGTGTAAACATCTGATTGTCTACATACCACTTGTTACACCACAAAAAAGATACTATGAGATATCTGCGCTTCATAACTCTTGCTCTTTAGGAAAATCCTAGGAGGCCATTGCATAATAAATACAGTGAAGAGGTTTGACCAGAATGTTTCACTTGATTGAGCTTTTGTGTTTTGTGGGTTAATGTTTGGGGTGAGTTTTTTGGGTGGGAGTGTATTGGTTTTGGGGAGATTGGTTGGAATTGGTTTTGTTTAAAATATTTTCTTTCTAAGGCTAAGAATGGAAGCCAACCCTCTGGGAGTCACACACTAATAACATTGTCACCTTACGCCTTCTAACCTTCTCCAAAACAAAAATAGCCTGGAGTTGTGCTGCTGAAATTGGTCGTTTTGCTGTTCCCAGTGCTGGGAGGGACATAAATGGGATGGTTGGGGAATATGGATTGCCTACTGCTGTTTTAAAATTAACTAAGCGGAACAAACCTTAGTTTGATTTTAAAATCTCAGTAGTGATTTCAGAAATATTTTCTGGAATCTTTTTTAAGAGTTCCTTGTGGCACTTGGGTCATAAAGCAAGTGATGATATCATTCTAATTTTGTATCTTTGAAGAAATAGAGGACCTTTCTTGCCCAATAAAGTTGTTTTTCTCAGAGCTATGTGGGTGGCTGTAATTATGAATTACGTTTTCCCCTTACTACTTCCCATTCTTTAGCTTTCTACCTTAATTATCTCTTGTTCCTGCTCATGTTTTGACTTTAATTTATATATCACATTCAGTGACAAGCATGTAGGGACTTACAACAAAAAAAAAGAAATAACAATTTATTTGCTGATGTTTTAAGTTGTAATTTAATATAATAATTCAATGCAAATAAGCAATAGCTTGTTTCAACAATACTTCAATTATCCATTTCATGCTTTTCACTTTGCTTCTCTTTGAATCATATTCTGTTTGTTCATTTTTCTTTCAATCCTTATCTCTGAGTTTGTTGTTTTCCACTTTCTTTTTCTGGTTTCCTTTGTTTATTTAGTCCTCTAGATGTTCTTTTCTTTTTTCCAAGCTCCTTGAGTGGACTCATTTTCTGGTACAAAAAGGTATATTAGAAAAAGATAAGCATGTACACAATTGGTTAGAAAAACTCATTGCAAGGAGAAATAGGGAGTGAGCAGGAACAAATGACCTTTCCGGTAATGGACAGACAAGCATGACTTTTAAAACATCACATCCTCACTATGGTACAGAAAGAACAAAACAGCAGCTACAGAATGTCAGTGGAAGGAAGGAGAACAATAAATTCTTATATTCTAGATGCCACATTCAGTTTCTTATGGTTACTGACATAATTGTCTGGATGGAATCAAAATGAGTTTCTTTTTTTGCTTTTGCCAAAGTTCTGCTGCAGTACATTTGTGTTTACAGCTCACACATATAAACACACCAGTGGTGGGTTTCAAAATTTTTAGAACATTTTCTGTAGGTGTGGCCTGCTTTGTGAGAGTGGCTTGCCAGCCATGTGACCAGGTGGGAGTGACTGGCCAGCTATGTGACTGAGTGGGCGTGGCCAACTTGTAAAATGTGGTGAAATTCACTTAACAATGCTCTTGCCTAGCAACCAAAATGTTGGCTCAGAAACTCTGCCATTTGAAGCACGCAAGTCTTAAAGCTGTCAAGTTACAAGACCCTTGCACCCCTAATCCTTTAGAAAAAAAACCCCAGAAGTGTTCAAACTTGACAGCTTTAAGACTTGTGGACTTCAACTCCCAGAATTCCTCCTCTTGCTCTTCATCTTTATCTCTTTAGAAGAGGTTAGAACTGGCAGGAACCCACCCCTGAAACACAAACAGCAGTGGTGGGTTTCTAATTTTTTTACTACCAGTTCACTTGTGCCTGCATGCGCAGAAGTGTCCGGGTGGGTGGGCTGAGCCTCCCGCCACCACTACTACCAGTTCGCCCAATCCGGGCTGAATCGGGAGCAACTCACCTCTGACACACAGGTGTACATCTGAACAGAAAGTATCAAGTATCATCAAGTACATCTAAACAGAAAGTGTCAAGAATGTTCACTTAGTTCACCTGGATGTGTACTTGTATTTATGTTGGGACAATCTGTTATGGCCCACCAGCAGCCAGCAGTGTTGGCAGCAGATTCAGACAGTAAGGAGGTTGGGGAGGAACATGGGCCAGTCCTGAAGTCTGGAAAAGGCTCCGATGAGGGCTCTGTGTCGGAGGCAGAAAGGGGGCCAGAGCTATATGCCAGCTATCAGCTGCCTTCAGTGTCAGACATCATGAGGCAGATGAACAGCTGGATCCTGTTCCCAGTGTGTGCATGCGCAGAATTACCAGACGAAGGGAACAACTAAACAACAGGGGTCAACTTGGGAGTAAGGCCAGACAAAGAATGGCCCCTCCCAGATGAAATAAAAGAGGAGCTAAAGGGGAGTTCGTTAATTGGTTAGTGACTTTCCAAGACTCCTTGCCAAGTTCTGCAGATATCGGCCTGTCAGTTCTCCAAGCCAGATAAGGTCTGTGACTGCAAATCCTCCTTTGAAAGACTTTGCCAGCTGTGAATGAGCAGAATTCACTGTAAATTAATAAAAGGGGTTTTTGCCAGAACAAAGACATTGTTTCATGCTCTTGGAAGCCTCAGTCAGAACACAGTGCCACATTTTTTACTTCTAACTTTGTCATTTAGTTTGTGCTTGCAGTAATTTCTGATATAGTTTTATTATGTTTGCCAAATGGAAGAGAGCAGGGGTTTTCAAACATTTTTAGGATGTGGAGCTGATAGTTTTTTTTAAAAAAACCAGAATGTCCCCAATTAAGAGCAAAATTATAGAGACAGAAAATTGGTTGAGCTCAAGTGACCTTTAATTCCCTTAATTTGTTAGTCATTTCCAGAACCCTAGGGTTCCATGCAACACAATATGAAAAACTCCCAGGAATTCTCATTAACTTTTTCAATCACATGGAAAAGGGGGGGGGGGCTTCAATTACATGGTTGTAACATTTTTACTTTTTTAAAAAACCTGTCT